AATGAGCATTTAAATGCGCTCATTTTACAGTACGCCTCGCTCTTCCAAACCGTCAACAATCTGGTGACATCAGCTGTTATGTCCATTTGCTACGCGGGAATTTGTGCACTTCACGCGTACAAATTAAAGGACACGGTAACCACCCGAAAGACGTCGATGCAGAAAAAGGTACCTGAACTCGTACTGAATTCCCCGGGTAATCAGACTGGGGTTTAATCAGATTTAAAAGGCCGTTTGCGAGAGACCCGAACAATGCTCGGCACAGTTTTTTTTGGACCCCATTTATCTGACGTCTTCTGAAAGAGCGTGGTCGAATTAGTAGGGTGGTATGGTTTTGGAAGTTTAAAAAGTTTAATTTTACTGTTAAAATGGGCCTCAAAGCTGCCACCTTCGAAAAACTAACTTGAAAATGACTGAACCAAACAGGCCGAAAATTTGTGTCAATACCTAATTTGGCGTGGGGATCATTTCTCTAATACATTTTGAAGCATGAAAATGGCCGGAACATGGTTAAATGGCGTACTAAAAACAGTTTTTCGACATTTTCGGCATTTTAGGGTGGTTTGCGAAAGCTGACTTATGCACGAAAAGATGCGCCCGTTTTTTCCGCATCGAATGGTGTATAGCTTATCTGCGCGAACCACCCTAAAAAGTAGTTTTATTCGCTTTTATGTGTGAAAATGGTGTTAAAAATGACCCCTAAAAAAGAAAATTTTTGAATTTGGAAAATCTGAGATATAGGATCGCATCTAGAGACCGAGACGAGTCGATTGCAAAAAAGAGCAAAAAGAAATTCGGCTTCTGAGAGGGGGCTGGGATTGAACTGGCGCCACCTCTGGATTGGTACGCCGACGCCCTACTCATTGCGCCACAGGGCTCCCAGGCGGAGGGTCCGGGTTCGATTCCGCGACATCGAAGAAAGCCGAATTTCTTTTTGCTCTTTTTTGCAATCGACTCGTCTCGGTCTCTAGATGCGATCCTATATCTCAGATTTTCCAAATTCAAAAATTTTCTTTTTTAGGGGTCATTTTTAACACCATTTTCACACATAAAAGCGAATAAAACTACTTTTTAGGGTGGTTCGCGCAGATAAGCTATACACCATTCGATGCGGAAAAAACGGGCGCATCTTTTCGTGCATAAGTCAGCTTTCGCAAACCACCCTAAAATGCCGAAAATGTCGAAAAACTGTTTTTAGTACGCCATTTAACCATGTTCCGGCCATTTTCATGCTTCAAAATGTATTAGAGAAATGATCCCCACGCCAAATTAGGTATTGACACAAATTTTCGGCCTGTTTGGTTCAGTCATTTTCAAGTTAGTTTTTCGAAGGTGGCAGCTTTGAGGCCCATTTTAACAGTAAAATTAAACTTTTTAAACTTCCAAAACCATACCACCCTACTAATTCGACCACGCTCTTTCAGATGAAAAATGGGGTCGAAAAAAAACTGTGCCAAGTCATAATGGGGCCTGTTCGGATGAGTCGCGGACGGCCTTTTAATCAGGTTTAGTTTAAAGAGATTTTCAAGCGCTCATTACTAGCGGAAAAGGTCTTATGGTGATGAAATACGCTGAAATTCCGTGGCACTGAGATAGCACAATCAACGTTTTTTCAACGTGTATGTCTTTCAGATCCTGTTCCAATCACTCTGCGTATGTTTCTTCACCTTTACTACGACTACGCTGTGGGGCTCTATGCTATTTTACACCCCCAGCAACTTTGTGATGCATCTGGGGCAGACAAGCTGGCATTTGATGCATGGTGGGTTTGAGTAGAAGGAGGCAATTTAGCAGAGGCCTTTTACCGTTTTCTCGCTCTCGTTCTCTCGCTCTCTCTCACTCTCTCTCTTTCTCTCTCTCTCTCTCTCTCGCTTTCCGTTAATTACCCAGGTTCTTGTTAAGCTGTTTAAAGCATGCAGCAAAACACAAGTTTTCGGGGGTTTAAAGGGAGAGTTATAGATCTCCCTAGGGAGCCGGCTAGCAAGGCTTATTTGATTTGGGCTTATTTTCTTGGTAATTTTTGTTAAATGCCAGGAATCCCTTCGATGGTCTACCTCTTCCTCAACAAAACCATCCATCGGCGAGTATTCGGCAAATTCGCCTTCTTCTCCTACCGAGCCTCGCCGAGCAGCATCAAACCCGTGTCAGCTACACAAAAGGAAGAGGGCTCAAAGACACACTCCAACATTGCCCCCATCTCCAGCAGCAATTTGGAATTTTGATAATTTGGCAAACGCCGCATAATTGTCATGACTCACATTTTTCGACATCTTTTCTAAACCCCAGCCCCTCTTAATTAGCATTTTTCTGCCTTTTGGAATGCATTCGGACCAATTTCTTACCAGGTGCCTGGACGTCACCTGCAAAATAAAGCATAATTATGAGTGAGTCAGCGTTTATAATTTGGGGCAAAGTACGCAAAATAATAAATGTCCGTCCAAAAATATAGGAAGTCAAAAACTTTAAATCGACGGTCTTGAATACTCCCCAAAAAAATCATGAGGGAAAAGCAGGGAGAGCGAGCGTATGAGAGAGAGAGAGAGAGAGAGAGCGAGTTAGAGTGAGAGAAAGAGAGAAGCAAAAGAGAGACCGATGGAAAGAATAAAGGTTTGGTTCTGGTGTTTATTTTTTAGATTCAGTCCAGGAAATGACATCCGTTCCCAAAAAAAGTATTTACAGCAAAAGTTGTGGCTAAAGATTGGTGTTGTTCGCCCCATTTACATGTGACAGGGCCGTTTTTTTTTGGGCGGGCCGGTACATATGCACATGTTTTGAGAAAATTGCGACCAGGTTCACAGGCTGTCCAGCACTGTCTGTCTGGCTATTCTCTAGCCGTTAGTTAGCTTGTGGCTTAATCTAGAGTGCGAACCACAGTTTTCCGAATTCTTGTAATTTTTAGGGTAACGCCTGTAGCGTGTAAATAGCGTAGAAAGATGCGCAAAAATTTTGTTTGCGTAGGATGATGTATTTTCTAGGATGGATTGTGGACCCCCCTTCAAAAAAATAACAGTTCCTGAAAGGTAGAAATGGGACGAAAAATTAAGCATTAAAGATTTGTGCGCGTTTCTTCGAGTCTTCTTCAACAGTTATAGCTTCTTTTGGATGCACAAAATGTTTTCAATAGAAAAGTCAGCCTGAATTGAATTTTATTAAAATGGGTACGATAAACGAAAATAAGCTTTTCGTAAAATTTAATTCCTTCGTGTTTTTTCGCCATGCCTTTATTTTTCAGTGAACAATAAAAACGTAATTTCAATGCTACTAGTCCAAAGAATTTCTATCCTGTACGGCCCCTACGTTTCCAGGCGGTGCACCGAAAAATGTCACCATTACTTTGGACACAGTTGTAGAGATTCCGTTCCGGAATTCCCCCAGAGACCGTTTGGTAGGAGCGGACGGTAACCACAATTTTGCGGTTAATTCTTTGAAAATTTCATCTTTTTTTGCTAGACCTTCTGATTCATCGGGTTTAATGCGAGCCAAGGGAGCTTAAGTACCGCAAAAATTCCTCTACAGCAAAATCACGCGTGCTGCGTGCGTGCATTTGGAACGATAATCTTGCCCAGCAATCTTTGATTTTTATTCTTATTTTAAGCCGTGTAATTCAATCTGCTATTTGAATTAAAGGAGATGGAAGCCTATCTTCTTGATGATGCTGTCGAGCTGGACCCGAGATGGAGTTGCCGGTAACCAATTATGATTACATTGAGCCGTTTTGACGTGGTATTGCAGTTTTTCGACTTGACGGAGCTCATTCGATAGAGCTTGAAATTCTTTAAAAATCCCCTATTTCAAAAATTGTTGAACGACTGGGGTCTTGGCGAAACGTGCCTGAAAGAGGCGATTTTGTTAATTTTTGGTTGGCCGCCTTACAAGGAGACGGTTTTAAGTGTCGTCGGGACTTTGGCATGGGACCAAACCTACCTTTTGCAGAATTTTACGCTGATTCCGAATATGGTAACCGTTTTTGCGGAATAGCCATTTCTCGAAAGTTATGAACGATTTAAACCTCAAAACAGCCCAAAATCGGCTACTTTCGATAGTTATAAATAGCTTCGGAATAGGTTTTAAACAAAACTTGATAGTGCATCTTGTTCAGAAAAAAAATTCTCTATAAAATAAGCTACTTAACTCAAAAATGTTGGAATTTTGTAAAATTTTGTAATTTTGTTGAAGCCTTTTATGACTATTGAAAGTAGCCGATTTTGGGCTGTTTTGAGGTTTAAATTGTTCATAGCTTTCGACAAATGGCTACTCCGCAAAAACGGTTACCATATTCGGAATCAGCGTAAAATTCTGCACAAGATAGGCTTAGTCCGATGCCAAAGTCCCGACGACACTCAAAACCGTCTCCTTGTTAGCAAAATTGTGATTTTTAAGAAACCTGCTCTCAATGACGATTATTGTTCGGCAGTCTTTGCCATCTTTTCAGCACTAATGAATAAGCTTAATCTCACTTCGTAAAACTCCATAAAGGCCAAAAATCACTCCTTGTGAGTGCGAAGTCTTCGGCGAATAGTCAAACTGCCGACAAGCCGAAATGCCGACATGCATGATAACGTTATCCAAAATTTCTGTAAATTATCCAAAATTCCAGGCAGAAAAATGCCGACACGTGTCATTTTATATCAGTTTTGACATTTTGCTTGTCGGCATTCTGCTGACATCGAATATCGATAATTTCGTTGTCGAAATTCTTATTGAAACGTTCCGAGGAAATCCAACAAGCCAATTTACTTCCGCTATCCCGCGAATTCCATTTCAATACTAGAAACGTGACTGAATCGTTCGCCCAACTCCAGTCTCATCACGAGCGACAACCACTTCTCGGCACCGCGTATATTCTTGGAGGGTTGTTTTTTCAGGTATTCTTTGGCAAATATCTCTAGAAGACTCAACTTTCTTGCTTGCTATGCGCTTCTGATGTTTAGATCGCCTACATCCTCGCATTGACCGTCATTTGCTCGAAGGATTTTATTAGCCTGTCATGTTATAAAGTGATGGCGGCATTGGGTCAGCTTTTATCAGAGTGTTTCAACTTTTTCACCTTCTCTTCTTCACTTTTTAAACCTTACCTGGGCAAATTCAATTTTTTAGGATTTATGGACGTCTTCAGCCTGTGTCTCAGCGCCCATCTTTCCGGAATTTTCTATATTCTGGGCGCGGAGTACTGTATGTACCCGCGGCTACAGTATGTCAGTGGCTCCCTTGTTGTTGGTAGGTAATGAATAGTATATTTTAAAGGAACTGACAAGGCGCGGCTAAGGGCTTTGAAAAAATTTCACTGTTGTGTTCTATACGAAACAGATTTCCCAGAAGGTGTACCTTAAGCCTGCGTCGCCACCGTATGCCAGCTGTCGAATCTGCTCGTCATCAACCGCATCCTCGACATCTGGCGGCCACAGCTTGGGAAATTTTTGTTCGAGGTACAGCTTTACGTTTTTGGTGACCTCGTGCAGTTCTGGGTCCATGCGTGAAATTCTTGATTTGAGCTGCCATATTTTAGTAGCATTTTGAATTTTCTAAATTTTCAGGGCGCTAGGACCTGGTTCTACATCGTGTTGATCCTCATTTATGGCCTCATGTTCGTCTGGAAAGCTCCGCCAGCGGTATTCAGCGTTGAATATGGCACCTGGATCTTCCATCCGCTTATCCCGGGCAAATTAGAATATGAGGTCTGCTTGAGATGCATATAATTTGGAATTCTTTCCAAATCACGAAATTGATACCTTGCCATCCCCTTTACAGGGATACCCAATGTTTTGGCGGCAAATATATAGTTATGTATTCCGGGGAGTACAAATGACGCACGAATTTTGTGCGGTAATGGATGCCCAGTGCCGCACAGAATTCGGCCTCCTCACCCTCTTGTGGCGTCCCCATCTCGACCAATGGCTTGCCACTATGGCCTAATGGATAGCATCCAGGTCTTGAAAGCGAGGGTCCCGGGTTCGACCCCCGCCCGCGTCATTGTTTTTGCTTTTTGAGCCCCGAAAAGGTTGGGTATCCCTTTAAAGGGACGGAGAAAGCAGTGCCAGGCATTTTGAATGGGTTTTTAAGCTAAAGGGCCTTGTAACTTCTTCAAAACGGCCTCTTAGCATTTTTTTGACAACAGGCACAGAAACAGCACAAAATTCTGTACAAAATACGCTCGGTGTCGACTCGAAACTCAATTAGCATTGAAAAAGGTCTTGTTTTAGGTTCGACGCAAAGGCCGCTATAATCAAAAAAAAAAAAAGTTTTTCTCGTTTTAGTACACTTCGCTCCCCCAGACGGTCAACAACCTGGTGACATCGATCGTCATGTCGGTTTGCTACACTGCAATTTACGTACTACATGCCTACAAAATTAAAGCAACTATCGGAGCAACCCCGATGCAGAGAAAGGTCAGTTTTCCGATTTCAAAAAGAAATTTTCCGTTAATTGCAGATTTTGATTCAATCACTATCAATTTGCTTTTTTACATTTACTACAACTACGCTCTGGGGTTCGATGTTATTTTATACCCCGAGCAATTTTCTGATGCACCTCGGGCAGGCGAGCTGGCATTTGATGCATGGTGGGTTGCGATCGAGCAGCAAAAGATGGAAGGCCAGCTAGCAGTGGTCATTTGGTGAAAAATACGGATTGTATCGTTGATATATTAGATCGCAAACTACCCGAAGCGTTAGATGAGATAAGTGTTAATTCGTTTATTAAAATCACTCTTTTGGATCGGGGATTTGGGCCTAAAAATTTTTGAGATCAGCGGCCATTTTGGCGCCTTTTTACGAGATAAGCTGATCTACGAAATTTGGCGAGATTTAGGTATCCCATCCCTGGTTTACCTCTTCCTCAACAAAACGATACATCGTCGAGTGTTCGGAAAATATTCTGTATTCCACTATCGCGCCTCAAGCGGCATCAAGCCGCTGTCGACTGTGCAAAAGGAGAGCCCCTCCAAGGGCCATTCTCAAGCTGGAGGCCCGATGTCGGAAGTGCGACTCGGGTTTTGAGCATCATTTGGTACACATAGGATAACGGGGGGAATAACGGGGAGCACTCAAACTTTTTATATGATGAAAGTGTTTTTAAATATGCTTTTTTCGGGCTGTAAAAAAAACTCTTAGTATATTTTTCGGTCCTCTATCGAATGGCATTTTCAAAATCTCGAAAATATTCAAAACGCCGAAAATTCCCCCCCCCCCTGTTATCCTATGTGCTGCCCATAGTTTTCAAAAATAGTTTTTAGGCTATAAAACTTTTATAATGCATATTTTCGCGTTGTAAAAAAATCTCTTAGTATATTTTTTGATGTTCTATCGATTCGCGTTTTCAAAATATCGAAAATCTCAAAAATTCGGCTTCCCCCCGTTATCCTATGTGCTGCCCATGGATTTTGCACAATTTTTGTTTATTCGATAAAAAATTTCATTTACATTATTTCGGGCTGAAATTAATTTTCCTAGGGTAGTTTTCGACGCTTTATCGAATGACGTTTTCAAAATACCAAAAATTTCGAAAATTTCGAAAATTTGACTCCCCCCGTTATCCTATGTGCTGCCCATAGATTTTCCTCAATTTTTGTTTATTCAATAAAAAATTTCTATTACATTATTTTGGGCTCAAATTAATTCTCTTAGTATATTTTTCGACGCTCCATCGAATGGCACTCGCAAAATCCCTCAATAATTGCAAATTTCATAATAATGAGTGCCCCCCCGTTATTTTATTCCCCCCCCCCCGTTACCCTATGTGTACCCATCATTTTATGTGTATTTTGTACGAATCACACAAATATCCTTTGCTACGCCTCGCATTATCTCTATTTTTTTTTGTATGACTCTTTGCTTCTTATTTTGCACGATTTTTTATTGTGTGTGTCCTGTTCCTTTTTCGTTGTGTAATCAGGAATCTATTGAATTAAATTACGTAACTCTGCACGGAATTTGTAGCAAAAACACCCTGCTTGTTTCATCGATGTGCGGAAGGCTACGCGACACGCGGCTCCCTTCATAGCTCTCCCCCATTACCCGAGCGCCGTGATCAGGTGGCCGAGTGGTTAAGGCGTTGGACTGCTAATCCAATGGGATTTTCCCGCGTGAGTTCGAATCTCATCCTGATCGAATCTTTTGCTTTTTGCCGCTTGAGTTGAGTTTTGGGTTTTTAGGGAGTAGGGTTTTCGGTCCAACCCAATTTTTGTGGTTTTTGAGGCAGCTTTTTGGCTACTTGACAGACCCCTGGGCTTCTTGTAGTTTCTTGTGGCATTTTCAGTGTTCTATTTTTATTTTATAAAAAGTTTTTATTTCTCCCTGGTCACCCTGAGATTCATTTCGAGCACGACACGACTTGGCTGGACAACAAAGATGCTACTTGTCCTTTCCTGATCTCTTCCTCTTATCGCCACCGTTATTTGCAAGATCCATTGATAAAGGAATTTTCGATAACTGCCATAGAAGATGAACAAAACGATCGTTGACGCGATGCCATGGCTGCACGATAGGATGGTCAGCCATATCGAATAAGCTGAAACCATAGGTTAAACTACTAAGCTTGAAAAGTGTCTCACCAGCCAGGTAGTACCACCCATAGTAATAGATAATGGCATACCAAAAAGCCGGAAACATGTAGATGAAGTAGAAGGTGGCTGTCTAAAGGATCTCTCTCTCTCTCTCTCTCTCTCTCTCTCTCTACCTGCACCAGCAAACTATTCAACCATCTTCGCTGCATCTTCAGCGTTTTCCGACTTGTTGTTGCCACTTTGAAACTCTGGATTTGGAGATAGCTCGGGACAATCAGGTCTAAAAAGAATAAAAATAAATTAAATACGGTCAAGTTAAAGTAAGTTTCATTAAGCTTGTTTCCTCAAACATACATATAAACCCGTAAAACACCACTGAATTGTAGATCGTCGCTGCTGGTACGGTAATAAACCTCATTTTAGCTTCCAGTGCATAGTAACTGGGCTGACTTATGAAGTTTTTGACGATGGGATGGGTCTAAAACAGTTCTTATTTCGTAAAATTACTTTTAATTTCTACCACATAGTGATAAGCATGGGCTTGTTGCTCGTCATTGAGCATCAGTATGCACAGTCCAGCCGGGACCACGTAGTAGAGAGGGTGCAAGGCGATGAGGATGCAAATTAGCTTTCCGGTACTGGAATGGCAGCTGGATTTTTATATAAGGAACTCTTTCTATCTCATTTTCCCTCTCCCTCTCTCTCTCTCTCTCATTCTTGCTCTCTTTCTCACTCTTGCTCGACTATCTTACTCCAGCTAGAGAGCGCGAGAGACATAGAGAGAGAGCGAGAGATCGCGTCTGAGAGAGAGCGATAGAAAGAGAGCGTGAGTGGGAGCGCTTGAAGAGAGAGAGAGAAAGAGAGAGAGAGAGAGAGAGAGTGAGAGAGAGAAACTCTTACCGCTTGCTAAACTTCAACCGATGCCCTTCATCCAAAATCGCCTGCTGCCTCGAGAAAAACGCAATAGCAATGGCAGCTAGGAAGCTTGTCATTATCCCAAATCCCAGCGACTGAAACTTCAGTTTTGCTTAAAATTTAAAGTTCCTCTTCTTACCATCTGCACCCAGGCAGTTATTCCAAATTTCGGCAACACACCCATCGAAAAGCAGCCCCCAGCCGGGATAGCGCAGATCGGAAAAATCAGATAGACGAGGATCAGGTCGTAGAGGATTGCATTGATCTAAAAACGGTCTTAGTACGTATAAAACCTAATAAAATCAATGGATTGTTAAGTGGAGTTCCTACTTGTAAATAGCACATATAATTCTTATAGTTTCCGATGCGCTTCGGTGTGCCGAACCAGATGACGTACAGCCCGAGGAGGTTCACAAAAGTGGTTGGAACTGCAAAATGGTGAAAATGTTAGGACGTGCGTATTTTTATGTGATTATGCATTCATATCCATTAAGGTTTAAAGCTAAGCTAAATTAAGCTAAGCTACTTACTACTATTTTACTGAAGCTGCTTCCGAAATTTTTCGACTTTTCTCGACTTTTGATAGCTTAAAGGGGCGCGGAAGTGACAAATATAAACGCTTTTACCAGAAATATAAGGCCGCTCCCATATTCTGCACTTCCGCGTCCCTTTAAACCTAGACATCACTTACCGGAAACCAACTGAAAAATTGAATATATCTTCGGATAATAACTAATATCGATTGGATCCATATCTGCGGCTTGGAATGGCTACTGGAAAAAATTTTGGCCGATCACATGAAAAAGCGCTTGAAAACACCTGGAAAACATGCTTTTTCACCTGCCGTTTTTCGTAATTTTTGCTCACGAGGAATGGCGGTTTGTACTTCAGATTTCAGAGAAATCTGATTTTTTTTTTGTGTTTTGGCACTATCGTCATAATTAATATTACTAACTTTAACGCTCAATAGGTAGCTTTATTCATCCTTAGTGAGGCGAATTGTCCTCTCCAGCGTCACCCGATTTTGCGAGACGACAAAGATGCTGCTCGACCTTCCACGAGGTGTTGGCTTCACGACCTTTGTGAGCTTCGTGAACCAATGGTATAAAAATCGGCGGTAACTTCCGTAGAACAAAAATAAGACTATTGTAGAAGCGACGCCATGAGAACAGGTCAAGATTGAGATCCAGATCGAGTAGGCTGAAGTGGAAAGTTGGAGTGTTGCGTAATTTTTAAGGAAAAAACCTGAGGTAACTACTAAAAAATATCGCAAACTTATTTTTTAAAGGATCTTTTTGACCTACCTGCTAAATAATAGAGCCCAAGTTGGTATAAGAAGGCGTACCAAGCTATAGGAAACATGTAGATGAGGCAGAAGGTTGCAGCCTAGAAGTGTTGGTCTCTCTCTCTCTTCTTCTCTCGCTCAGTCTCTCTCACTCTCCCTCTCTCCCTCTTTCGCCCTCTCTCTCGCCGTCTGTCTCTCGCTGTCTCCCTCTCTCGATCTGGCTCTTTCTCCCTCTTTCTCCCTCTCCCTCTCTCTCGTTCTCTCTCGCGCTCTCTCTCTCGCTCTCTCTTCTTTCTCACAGCGTGTTCAAAAGTACCTGAACCACCAGACTATTCAGCCACCTGCGCTGCATTTTTAGAGTTTTCCGGCTTGTCGTCGCCGCTTTCAAACCGCGTATTTGAAGGTAGCTCGGTATAATGAGATCTGAATTCATATTTAATTGGCGATAAAATAATTCAAGCTTACAGCTAAATCCCCAAAAAATTATCGTGTTGTAAACCGAGACGGCAGGTACGGTAATGACCTTCATTTCCGCTTGTAGTCCATAGTAGGTGGGTTGAGAAATGAAGTTTTTGACGATTGGATGGGTCTAAAAATATATATTCACGTATTACCATATCCGATGCTACCGCATAGTGGAATGCTAGAGCTTTTTCTTCGTCATTAATGGCTAACACCCAGAAGCCGAGTGGGATGATGAAATATAGTGGATGGAGGGCGATAAGAATACAAATTAACTTCACGGCGCTTAAAAATTTAGATATTTAGTGAAAGACAGAGAGAGAGAGAGAGAGAGAGAGAGCGAGAGAGATATAGAGAAAGGGAGGGAGATTGAGAGAGAGATATATAAAAAAAGCGAGAGAAAAACAGAAAAAGAGAGAAAGAGAGAGAGAGAGAGAGAGAGAGAGAAAGGAGAGATAGAGAGAGAGAGAGAGAGAGAGAGAGAGAGAGAGAGAGAGAGGGAGAGAGGAAGAGTGAGAGATGGAGGGATAATGAGAGGAATATAAAGAGCGAGAGAGAGAGAGAGAAAGAGAGAGTGTGTGAGTGAGATTATTTCTTACCTCTCACTCAGCTTCATCCAATGTCCGTCCCCCAAAATAGTTTGCTGCCTCGAGAAAAAGGCAATAGCAATTGCAGCCAGGAAGCTAGTAGATATCCCAAACCCTAGGGACTGAAATAAAATGCAATTAGCTTTGCTTGTAAGGTTATTTTTTACCATCTGTCCCCATGCCTTGATGCCCAATTTTGGCAGCATTCCCATGGAATAGGCCCCACCGGCCGGAAAGGAAAATACGGGAAAAATCAGGTACACCAGGATTAGGTCGTAGAGGATTGCATTGATCTGTAAGTAAGATGATACCGTATGTTCATCTTGCACTACCTGGAGGTAGCAGAGGTAAGTTTTGTAGTTCCCGACTCGTTTCGGGGTGCCGAACCAGATTACGTAGAGTCCAAAGAGGTTTAGGAGGGTGGCTGGGACTATAACAGGTTTAAGCCGGTGCTTTCATAACCTTAAGGCGTCAGAAAAGGTTAAAGGGATACCCAACGTTTTAGCGGCAAGTATATAGTTATGTATTCCGGGGAGTACAAATGACGCGCGATTTTTGTGCGGTAATGGATGCCCAGTGCCGCACAGAATTCGGCCTCCTCTCCCCCTTGTGGCGTCCCCATCTCGACCAATGGCTTGCCACTATGGCCTAATGGATAGCATTCAGGTCTTGAGAGCGGGGGTCCCGGGTTCGACCCCCGCCCGCGTCATGGTTTTTACTTTTTGAGCCCCGTAAAGGTTGGGTATCCCTTTAAAGGTTGCGCGCTTTGAGGCAGGTAAGATGTCAACACCTAGCCGATGGAAATGGTCTATTTTTACGCTTATGAGTACCTTTTTGAAATAATAAATTATTACTATTTTCAAGCCCTTGAAAGGCTGCAAACCTGAAACGCATTGAAATACAAAGTATATTTCTGGATAGTCGTTGATATCCACCGGTTCCATCCCAAAAGTTGAGATCAATAATTTGAAAGGTTTTCAAATGTGACCAGCCCCCCAATTATAGCAGGAGCTACTTCTCTTCCGGGTCACCTGCTCCAAGATAGGCCACAGAAAGATATTATTAAAGTTTGTGGCGGCCGTTGTTTTTTTTAAGGTGCGGTACGAAATGATGCGGATGTTTGCTCCCTGCCCTCACTCACTCACTTTCTTTCTATCTCTCTCTCTATCTCTCTCTTTCTCTCTCTCTCTCTCTCGCTCTCTCTCTCCGTCACTCTCTCTTTTTCTCTTTTTCGCTCTTTCTTTCTCTCTCTCTCACGCATAATCTCACTCACGTCTTTCACCTCGATGATTAAAATCTGGTTTAAATAGCTTTTATCGATATGGCAATTCAAAAATTCTGCGGCACAAACGCAATCACACGATTTGCTATCATATTGGCGAAATTTCAGAATATCGAAATTTTTATCTGGGAAAATTTGCTCATGGAAATTCTCCGTTCTGAATTTCGACATTATGAAATTTCGACATTTTGAAAGAAACCCCAATCACACCATCGGAACACATCACATAAATCGTGAGACGGCAAAAATTCAGCTAAACGGTACTGTAGCTAGTCGTTGTATGTACAAGCGTTGACATTTGGTTGAGATCCACAGGAGCCCGCTCACCAATCTTCTTCATCTTCCCTAAAAAATGGCTTTGCTGTTATATGCTCTATAATGGCCCTTTACTAGGAGCATACATAAACGTACTCTTTAACGAGCTACTTTATGGTGGTGAAACTCACGATTCCGGCTCGGAGATGAGGCGTGGGACCCGAAATCCCTCCGGGAACCCGTCGTCCGATTCGCTCAACCCGTCGTCCCAGTCGTCATCCACCAGGTCGTGTGCACCTTCTGCGTTCAGGTAGCGGTCGAGGAAGCGCCCTCGGTATTCAGGGGCCTAGAAAATGAAGAATAAAATGTGCAGAACTTAACTAGTACTAATAAATTTTTTGCTAGCATGCTGTTATTTCCTCAGCAATCACTGCTAGCCTTCCATAATTTCCTCAAAACCGACGTTTCCTTTAGTTGATAAATTTTCTATGAGAAAAGATGAAGGTTTCTATGCTTTTTTATTGTTTCTAAACGCAAAAACTTTGCAAATTGTTCATAAAAACAATGAATACAGTTTTTTCGGCCAAAAAAAAACCAATTTCGACCAAAAAGTCTAATTTTATAAACTTTCTAAAGATTTTTCGACGCTCTTCCACTTCAAAGACAGCTAAATTTTACTAATAACATCATAATAATAATCATAATACCATCATAATCATCATAAGCAATACTACGTTGTCTCTGGACCCATACGCTAAAATATTTTTCTAACACTCTTTGCTAGCCTGCCCACCACAAGCCGTCAAACCAGCCGTACCTCATTCTCGCCTGGCGGCCGGAAGAACTCTATCCGGAAGTTCCACAACAGCGTGGCTGGCTTAAACCGTCGTTCCATCGCCCGACCATCCGGCCACGTCCAATAAAAATCGGCGGCCACTACAGTGCGAGTGCCCGGGTAGCTTTTCCCGTGCCATTTTCGGATCACCTGCAAAATAGGTAAAATACGGAACCTTTTTAACCTCTTAAATAGTTTAGCGGTAAAATAAAAACGTGCTAGATTCCCGAAAATTATTACCTGTTCCGTGGCTGCCGCTCCGCGTGTAAAATCGACGATGCAAATCCTCTTTTTCCCCACTGTTCGGATCCTCAAATCGAAACGATAATGTTGAAACGACAAACTCACACAAGCGGCACCTTCAGCTTGGCCTTGCCCAAGATGACGCGCTTCACGTCAGCTTCTGAGATCACATCCGGAAAGTTGTAGAGGAAGAGCTGACATTTTTAAATATATGGCTAAAATCCAGCAAAGGCAGAAGTATAATCACTACTTGAGAACCTAAAACTTCTGCTTTTAACCCCGATAAACTACAATAATATTCTGAAACCCGGAAAATTATGCATATGCACCAAACCGTGAGCTGATAAGCTCTAAAATCACGCAAAAATGACAGCCAAATTGGATTAATTGTATAAAGCCTCGTACCTCCTCGTACTTGTTGGTTCTAACGCCAAAATTCTACCATTATGACTCTCAACCACACGAAAAGTGGAGGAAATCCGTCAATTACGGAAACGTTCCAAATTCCGTTTGTGCACGTTTACTACTCTTGAAAATTCTTAAAAACGACGTAAAAACTGTAAACAACTGGATAATTTATAAAAACCGTTTACCTGCTCGGTTTTGACCATTTCCTGATGCGTGAAAGGTGACGGGTGGCCATCGAATCTTGGCCCGTTTCTCGGCATCACCTTCACCGCTTCAATTTTGCAAGTTCGAGACCCGGGGTTGTGTTCGGTGACGCACATCTGCTTCAGTGTGCCTTCACGCACGGCGTGACGCCGCAAAAGCGCAGCGATCGGATCCTAAATGTATTTTTTTAATGTTTTTTTTTGCGTTTTTATTGCTTTTTTAGCATGTTCACTCCATATTTAAGGTAAGTTCTACGTTTTCCAAATAAGATTTGATAATATCGCAATTTCTGTGCAAGAATTCCGTATTTCTAAACGTAATTTTTTACAGG